AGAAAATGGCCGTGTTCTCTTAAAAATGGGCGTAGCACAGTAAAGCGCGAGGCCCACGGCATTTGCCGTATTTGGCACGTGGTTAATCCGGCGTTAAACGAGCAACAAGCTTTCATTTTCTTTAAACGCGACGTATGGGGAGACAATAATAATTTGTGATGTCGCACTGGGCCAAAATACTCAATGCTGTATTTTTGGGTACTAGTACTTGTGAAATATAATAAGATCAATAGACATTAGTGTATCAAAATAAAGTAATTTTACTGATTATTTTAACTGTGCATCAAAGTAAACACACATTATTCTAAACTACAGTATTTGCTATATGGCTATAATTTGAGTTTGAGGTGGTAGAATATATAATAAAATAACAAATCCTTGTATGGATAAATGTTCATTTCACACGCACGCTATTAACAGCTGCTTAATAATTAACTTATATATTTGTAAACATTTATACTCGATAGTCGATATGTAAATACTAAATGGTACATTATATGGATCAATGCAAACTGGAACAAAACAACAATTGTCAATTGAAGTTCTAATTTTGGGAAATTTAGTAACAAATATAAAATCACTAAACAGCTCATCGATATGTATGTTTGCGCTATTAAAAGTAGACAATATATTGAACAATGATCTGAAGTTGTCATGCAACTGACAACAATATTATATTTCAAAATACCTGTATATGATGATATTTTACAAATATCTCGGGATTTTTGGACCAATTTTAAACTAAGCAAGGTAAAAAGTCTCCATTCAAGAATATATCTTCTTCTCAAAAGGTAAAATACTTAAAATACTTGATTAAATTGTTTACTTCTACGGTATGTAAATTAACAGCGTTTGACTTGCAAGACGTCAAAAACGGACGATTTCAACGCGCTGTCGTTTATCGCGTATTCATTTGCCAAAAGAAGTATTTACGCCAATTGAAAGCTTGCTTATTAAAGAGCCAACTAGTAGAAGCATGATCGATTTGGAGCTTTATCGCATGGTGAAAATGGATTTTGTTAAGAGGGTATCGTAAATGAATTAAGATAGTGTGCTCCAAAACTACGATTATTTCTATTCCTAAAAGTAATTCAGATTTCCTGTAAGTCATGTACACAGTCCTTTGAATAACTGAAAACAAGATTTTTAGGGTTTTAGATCGATTATAAATGGTTGTCGTCGTGAAATTTATCTGTAAAATCAGCGCATATTTTCCCAGAAAAAATGGCGATTTAGGGTGGTCGTGTTAAAACGGCATTTTCTCAAAGTTAAAAAGGTATTTGACCTAAAAAAATATATGGCGCATTTTCCGATATAATAAGGTATATCTGGGCAAAATTTGAGCAAAATCTATTTTTCAGTCGTGGCCGCGAAATGTCTCATATGTTCGATTTTTACTGACATTCACTCTTAAAGCACAAGAGATGTTACCTATGTCTCATTTTATATTTTTATTTTTTCCTATGAAGGTTTGTTACTTGTGCAAAAGCGCAACTTTAGGTTTCAAACAGTTTCTGCCTTCTGCTTTTTGTTGTGAAATTATTGATTTTCTTTGGATAAATCTACCGCTGAAACTGTTCTATACGAACTCTCTTGCTCCCCATAATGGTCCCTTGTCTATTACACCATAGCCAATCTCTTCCCCGAGCCTGCGATCCTCAGGAAGGAAACAAAGGCTCTGGGATAATCCGTTGCCGAAAGCCAGGAATTCTGGCTAAGATTGAACTGCACATTCCATATCAACGGTCAATCAGATTCCTCCCTGAAACGGATTATCCCAGAGCCTTCATTTCCTTCCCAAGGACAGCAGGCTCAGGGAACGAGATTGCACCATAGCGCGCATGTCATCATTTTCAGGTCAGTGTGAACGCCTGAGTAGGCGTCTTGTTTTATATAAAATCAAACCCTGCACGATGTCATCTATATTTTTCCTTACATAACAATGATTGCCTCACGCCCCTATATCCCTGTCAATCAAGCCACTGCCATCATATTTGGATGGAATCACCTACAGTCACATGATCACGCCACTGAATAAATCCTACTCCACCCCTTCCATCATAAGCATTCAAACTCACTATACCATTGAGTAAGTTTTACATAAAGGACTAGCAAATTGCTTCGCTCCAAAAATAAATTAAAGATGAACAATAAAGTACGAAGTGTTGTAATGTCCCGCAACAAGACCTTTTGGTAGGATAATTTTACTAATAACATATTCAGTAATTCATCCTTTTTCACTTTCTTTCAACCTTCATTTTTGTACTGTGTTCGTTTTATTTGTTTTTCTCTGGTTTCACATATGTTCCGTACTCCTAAACTCTCCTGCATTCTAGTTCTACTCTGCTAACTCTATCTACACCCCCCCTTAAACCAATCCTGCTGAAGAAGACTGTTAGGTCGAAACGCGTACAGGGTTGCCTTTCCTATTCAAATTCAATCTCTCGCTCTTATATATCCTCGCCTTTTATTGTGTCACATAATAATTTCACGTATTTCAGTTTCTATCTAATCGTATTTTCCCAGGTTTGTTGCGTACATGTTCCTCATAGGAGTCGTAGTAAATTAATAAAGGATAACCATTTTGGACTATGGCATGGTCCTCAACTATTTAGGCTACTACACAAAGTCTTACACCAGTACTTGTCCAACTACCTATTTCATACCAATGAATGAATAAATTGTACTCCACCCCTTCCATCATAAGCATTGAAACTCACTATACCTTTGAGTAAGTTTTCCCCTAAAGGACTAGCAAATTGCTTCGCTCCACAAATAAAATAAAAGATGAACAATAAAGTACGTAATGTTGGAATGTCCCACAACAATAACATATTCAGTAATTTCATTTTACTAATAACATATTCAGTAATTTCATCCTTTTTCACTTTCTTTCAACCTTCATTTTTGTACTGTGTAATTAATTGTTCATAATAACTTCGTAATAATTTGTTCTTCTCAGGTTTCACATATGTTCGGTACTCCTAAACTCTCCTGCATTCTAGTTCGACTCTGCAAACTCTATCTACACCCCCCTTAAAAAAAACCCTGCTGAAGAAGACTGTTAGGTCGAAACGCATACAGGGTTGCCTTTCCTATTGAAATTCAATCTCTCGCTCTTATATATCCTCGCCTTATATATCCAGACACTTTCTTTGAAAATCCAGGAGGCACAGTACCTGTATCCGAGATACTCAGCTGAGCTAAAGCTGTCTCATGCCTTAGCACAAATTTATGGGACATACAATGGCCTAAACCATTTACAAGATTCAGCATGGAAGAAGAACCAGTCAGCTGCCTCAATGACATGGCAAGTGAAATAGTCTTAGGCGTAAGCTTCCTTCCATCTGATGCAACATACTATGTCTTGAGCAATAGACATAAGTTTATTAAGTCTTCCATTCTCTACAACATTTATATGTTCTTCAAGCTGGGCATCACTGGAAGATGCAGTTATCCATCTTCTCGTAGAAGTCCTCCATTCTCAGTTTCGCATAACATCAAAGGAACTCTCTTTCGTTTACAAGATTTCTAATAATACATGCAAATAACAGAATTAAATTAGAAGACTGGTCAAGTCATGTGATGTATGTTTGGCCAATAAATGTATTTAGAGCCCACCTGCTTTATAATCAGCAATATGCTTGCAAATGATGTCAAGAAGTTGGTTTGCAATTCGGCCATATTAAATAATAAAGTTTACTGCGGTGTGTAGGCAACCATTGGTTTCATACATTTTTTTACAATAACCATTTTTACTTCAATAATCAAGCATCTTCAATCCCCCTATAGCCTACCGGCATCTCCTGGCCTTATATAGTAACTAAATACCCTCAACAAGGAACAAACTCTCTATATTATAATAATAATTTTACTGACAATTTATATAGTGCTCATAAAATGTGATTTGAAAATGATGTAATACTGTGTATATACACCCCCATCCCCTGTCATTCACTGGGGGGGGGGGGGGGGGGGATATTAAATGGAATGGCCCTCTATAGTTCAATCCTACACCTAAGTTACATATTAAACACATTCACATGTCATACGACTCATATTCAAATTTGAAAGGCAACAAAAAAGAGGTTTTACCTTGTCCATTTTGAACCATGGACTCTCTCTTTGGCATATGATGCATCGTTCAGGCAATACATAGTCATTCCTGGTCCTATTTCTAGGAGATTCTTCAGCCAGTCGTGTTGACCTCCTCTTATTATCAATATTAATATCGATCGTTTGCAGGTTTTCCACTTTACAACATAAGTTTGCCTTGGTTTCTGCTCTGTGAATCTTCTCTTCATTGCATAAACGCTTCTAACAAGTTTTGTGATAAGGCCAGTCCAGTTCAAAATCCCCTTCTTTTAAATAATCCAATATCTTTTCATCTGAGAAACACTCGTAAGAATTACGACATATATCAGCTTGTTCACATTTTAAATTGACCCATCTTTTTCGACAAGCAATGAACTTCTCCAATCTCGCTTTCATTATAGGGAATAACGTTTCACAAATATCTCCAAAATGCATAAAACATGACTTAAAATGAAGTTCATTAACATAAATTGGACTTTCTATTCCAGTTGCCATGTTTTATTTACTACTTTTCAGCTTTTAGCCAATCAAATTTTTAGTAATAATCACATGAATCGTGAAATCGGCAAACTCCTCGTGTAGCCCACATTCAGCACGCCGAATCTTTGTACCTAGACCTTTTCCCATGCATAAACAAAATGGCATTTTCGAAAATCTCGATCAAGGTTATTTCAGACGTTTAATGTTAAATATTTCATCATTGTGCAACTTTTTCCATTGGGGCCAAGTTATTTTGTGTTTTTGACACCATAACAGGTGTATTTGTGCGAAAATGTTTTAGTTTCGCGATGGGGGCAGCAGCATTGAAAGATTTTAGTCCATCAGTCCATGGCCTAGTGTATCCATGCTTACAATTGCATACAAACCAACTGTGCGAGAGTGGTTAGTTTTATTAGCAAACAATTATGGAGAGAACGAGACATAGAAGTACAGCAGTACAGAGTTATAAACGGCCAAGTGATGAATTGCTGCAAAAAGTAACAAATGTCTTACAAACACAAAAGAGTCCAATTGCAAGTGAAGAAGAAGTAGAATCCAACAAAGTTGTTGTGAAAACGAAGTGTGTGAATAAGGAGCAAAGGAAAGACCTATCGTCTAAAGTGCAGGTGATGTTTACTCATGGGGATACTACATTAAATTTGAATTTTGAGTGAAATGAACAGTACTGAATTATGACTTGAACTACAGCATATTGAAGTTAGTTTATTTGGGTGGGAATTGGTGTGTGTTAATGCTATAATTATAGTGAAAATGCTGGTGTTCTCACTTTGTAAATTTTGGACAGCTTGTACTACTTTAGGTGTGATTTTTTATGAATTCATTAAATAATCAATTTAAGCAAAGCTATAAATTGCGGTTAATGGAGTAATATGTTCTGAAGGCTCTATCTGCCCGAGGGTGTTTTCAGTCTGCCAACGCATCTGCGTCACAACAATCAATCCGTACCAGGTACGTACAAGGTCCAAGTACCTTGGCAGAACAAGGGAACCGTTTTCTAGCCCTGTTAATATTACAAAATATCTGATAAATATCGAACTTTGGCTGCTAAGCATGTGAACAACTGATGCAAACTTGGGATTAACCAATCAGAAATTATCCTGAAGGTTTTTTCCTTCACGTGCATACGTACAATGGCCCTCTCTTTGCGCAAGGACTTTTGATCGCAATGTCGACGTGCACTGCTCATTCGCAAGACTTTAGCCAGTGCGTTAACATCTCTGGCAAAATTTTTGGCTAATAATTTAAGGGACCAAACCTTGGCAAAGAAGTGGAAATTTAAAAAAAGCTATGAACTGTCTATATGTGTTGTAATGTTCCTGCATGAATTGTGAGGACGAGGTTTTACTGAGGTTTAACTGGTAGTTTATAATGCTCAGAATCTTCTATAATCCAGTTTAAACAATGGCAAATTCAAAATATAACGTTACTTGGATACTTGCAGGAATAAAATGGTTATAAACACTTTATACTGGTTGTAGAAAAAGCAGCTAGTTCAAAATGCCAGCCTACTTGTAAACCCGCAGAGTAAAAGGGTACTATGCTACTATTATATATAACCCTCGCTCCGACGTTATCGTTTGCAGTCTTAGGTATGGTGCTGTTTACCATGATGCTGATTCTTCTTACACTTGTAAAGATAGAGCTATGTGGGGAGCTGCGGGTGGTCTTGGCCCTACCCAGGTTTTCCTGTACTGCAGGTTTTTTTCCTGGCCTCCCTGATTACCCAGCCTTAGCATAAGTGTCAGCATCAAGTGAACAGCATTCTCTAGTGAACCTCGGGCCTTTTGACTTCGTTAAATTGACATAGCTGGAGTCGGCAATGAACTGAAATGGGTCTGCAATTAGTCCTTTCATATAAAAACAACAACAAAGTTCAAACATTTAACGAATCTGCTTAATATTGACATGCTAAACGCAAAGCCAAAAACAAATTTTTATTCTTTAACCACCCCTTTTTCACTTTTGTGCTGCTTCCCGTGGCGGAAACGACAACCTATACTTCGTATAGACTGTCATTAATGGCAGGGAAGTGCTGTCCGATGGACAACACTTCACCACGTGAAGCGCAATCACTGCTCATTCAGGTCGCACTGAAGACCTGAATGAGCAGTCCTAGAGACTCGATGTGGTCAGTCAGGTTATCAGTTGCGGCCCGGGGTAATGTGCCCTATACCAATAGTTGTTCACCAGTCCAACTAGGTCTCAATGTCGACGGCCTGACGGATCTGAACGGGGGTTCGCCTGTTCCCCTGTTATCTAGAGGTCCGCCTGTTCCTCTAGAACAACCTACAGTTTTTGCGTGTATCCTCAGCCAGCTTTGAGTACCCTGGGTAATGTGCCCTACACCAATAGTTGTTCACCAGTCCAACTAGGTCTCAGCTCGCTGAACGACATGCACAGAGTCAAGCATGCCCCCTGCAGTCTAGAGATTCGCCTGTTTCTCTAGATCAAACTTAGGTTAGCGAGAGCCTCTAGACAGTTCGGCCGGAACTGTTTTCGAGCACTTCTCTGCCCAAAATATATGCCACAAAAATGTGTTCCAAGTTATTGTTGTCTTGCTTAGTTGCCAGTTGTTCGATTTTAACTATCTGTCTCTTTTCCAACATATTCAACTTCATTAACCACTCTATTGAATTAATTAGTGAGTCTATATAGACTCACCAGTGACTCTATATAGACTCACTAGTGACTCTAGATAGAGTCACTGATGAATTCAATAGAGTGGTTAATGAATTCAATAGAGTGTCTAATGATTTAATCTTTTAATTAAACCTTTTTTGTTTTTTTTAACCCCACATTTTCCCTAGGCTTCAAAGCCCTCGCCACTTGATGATTTAACACACTATGAGATATAATATAGAGCAATAAAATACTCAAGGCTGAGTGGGTGCAGTCATTCCCTAAGCCCACCTCAACACTGAAAAAACTAACACTAATAGGGATTTTATTTTAGATTTAGCCAAGGACTTAGGAGAACATGCAAATGTCAGTTGAAGTCGGTGACAGTGTGTAATTGCCAAAAACAAGGCTGCATTTTCTTAGAATTCAAAGTGGCTTGTATGCATGGTTGTATATTTTAAAACAGCCTCATAATCACTATGCAGCTGTATCTGAAAGTTTATATATTTTATAAATAAAGTATAAAAATATCCATAGTTGAGGAGCACATGTTAAAAACCAAAAATATTTAAAAGTATATAAGATTTTATCAATATATACCGATACGAATGTCAAGTACATATTTATACTAAAAGCGAAAGAGGGCAAAAATACAAAACTGTGTATAGTATAAAGTACTATATAAACAAACACCTCCGAACCAAAATACTTTAAATAACGTTTTAAATATTAGAATACAGAACTGAAATCAAGGGAACAACTTATTGACTATTAAATGTTATTCCTATAACCAGATGCAATCATTCACATTGACTATAATTAGGCTTAGCAATTTGTGAATTGGAACAAAAACGTGACACAAATTGTCAATTCCACAAAGCTTAAAATGACACTTATCCGTTATAAATTAGAAATCCAGTACAAACACCTGTCAGTAATATTTAATTTTCAAAAAAAATTCATCCGATCGTTAGTTAAAACGCGAATTCACCTGTTTTTATTGCTAAGGCTATTCTTTTGCAGGACATCTGCGAAGCGTGTTCACATCTCGCCTCCTCAACGCATTTTCTTCACCATTATTTCACAGAACTTCATGAAATCACACCTGCATGTAGTTAAAAGTTGGCTGGTTGTTTTCCTGTAGATAAAAGTTATCACTGGATACAAGTTAGTGTTAAAATCCTCCATTTCATATTCAAAGCAAAAAAATTAAAAATTGCTACAACAAAAAAAAGTTCAGAATAAATTAATCTAAAATCGATTGTATATGTAAATCGACTTTGAATTCGCAAGCACATGCTATTCCACTGAGCTACTAGCAAATTCTCGATAAAACACCTTCGGACATCAATGTACGCTGTCTTGAAAAAACAGCATTGCACTATTATGGTTTATTACTGTTTATCAAGTTTTCTACTATTGTATAAAAAGTATATAATCTTTCATTTAGGCTGGTGCTCTAGTACAAACTGATATGTACCTCTTCTTAACCAACAAAGACTATCCAAGAAACAATAACATGAGACCTGGCACATGGCGGGAAGCTGTTATGGCTCTGCACTGTGAAATGGCTACCAACCCCACAATTGTCTCTTCAGCTCATTTGTTATGATTGGAGATTAATATTATTGACTGGCAGGGTACCGGTCAAAGCATCTCAACTATATTGTTTGCAACAATTATTATAGCATTATCGGATAATGTCATGGTGGCATCAAAATTCCCCTTAGCGAGTTTTAATTTTTTTTTCTATTTGTCTATAGTAAAGTTCCCCGAACTCTATCCCTGGGAAACAAGAGACCATGTGACCCGCCAACTTGGCAACTAGTCGAATGGTCATTGCAGAATGACTATGAAGAGTACCAACTGAGCTATTTCTCTAAGCTTGTTAATTTTCTCATTGGTAAGTGAAACAGTCATGTCAATCAAATTATATAAATATAAACCCCAGATGTTGTATTATTTGTGTAGGGGTGGTAAATGACTTATCCTCATGAGGATAAAGCCCTAATTCTCGCAACAGGTTAGTAGTGTCCACAATGTTAGATTTGCACTCCTCATAATAGTATCCAACTAACCAAGAAGCATCAAAGTAGGCGCTGGATAAATGCCCCTTTCCCCTGAGGATGGCAAATACAGGTTTCATTACTTTGGTAAATAATTGTGGTGCACATGCTAAACCCAGCAATAATCTAAGATTAGTGAAGTGCATTCGATTCTAACGTGAATATAGTTGTGGAAGTTACTAATTTTACATTAATGTTGTGAAAACATTTACGAATATGTGATCAGAATGAGAAAGATCGTACATTGCAGTGAAAACGTGAAAAAATTTAATGTAAAACTATGTGTCACCCCATGAGGTACTGACATAATATGATTGGATCATGAGATCGAGACTGCATATCCGCGAGTGATGAATATCCGTTCTCTCTATCGCTGTTACTGTAAAACGTAAAATGTATAATATCAAGTTTTTACATATAAACTATAATATAATGCCAGTGGTATACGACATTATGGAACCTTTCTTTGTAACATATTAAAAACAACTTATTTAAGGTAACACATGCATTTAATTCACATCAGTTCTATGTTAAATAACCATGCTGGAAATTTGACAACAAATCAGTGTCAGTTGTTTTCGATTTCTCCAAACACTCATCCAAAATTTGCCGTTTGTGGTTGATGGACTTTGTGGCAGCATCTTGAGCTTGTTTCAACTCGGTGTATACACCTATTTTTCAATTTTTTACGTATGGCTTCTCTTTTCATCACACTTTTGGCTTTTTGGAAATGTTCTCGTATTTGAACAAGTTCGTTGTCGATCTGCTCAACCATGCTGTGTGCTATAGCCATCCTGTCGATATTTTTTTTAATTGTGTCCTTTTTTTGTGATAACTTTTTGCAATGGTCAGTCCGAAAAAGGACCTTTTCATCATTAAGAGTTTTCCGAGCAAAGTCATTGATGAATGATGTTTTTCTCAACGTCCACGACACTTCAATTATTCCCGTCATTGTCGTTTTGTCGAGATTGCCAGTTTTATTGTCCC